AACGTGAATTTTTTAAGGATTTTCGGAAGGACTAAAAGACAAACAAACGTGGATTTTTTAAGGATTTTTCTGAAGGCCGGAAGACTAATAAACTGCAATTTTTTAAGGATTCTTCTACCTATAACTTGGGGTTTTAAAGGATTTTTCCGAAGGACCAAAAGAACAATAAACGTGAGTATTTTAAAGGATATTTCTAAAGGACACAAAGGCAAATAGATGTGGATTTTTTTAAAGATTTTTTCGGAAGGACCAACAGATTAATAAAAGTGGATTTTTTAATTGATTTTTCTAAGGGATTTTTCAAAAGACCAATAAACGTGGATTTTTAAAGAATTTTTTGCAATGACCAAAAGACCTATTAACGAACTTGGATTTATAAAAACTTTTTTTTTATATATTTTGGGAAAAACTTTGAATTTCTCAACAATGATTTTTAAGAATTTTCTGTAATACCTCTAGAAAATACCAGTTAAATTTTCCCGGTAAAATTATTGTGTTTATTTGCCTTTGGAAAAATTTTTACAAATTATAACTTTGTGTATGGAAGATATACCTTTAATGCTGAAGGAAATATTTGAATATACATATTTTAAATAGAATCAGTGAATTATTCTGAATTTTCTCGGAGTTATAATTTTTTAAAATTTAGAACCCTTTTGTGGGGAGGTACCTGACAATTATGCCCATATTCGAATACGCATATATTAACCAAAAATGTAAAAGTTTATAAAACTAATTCAAAATAGGGATTTGAGGTACCTAGAGGGTTTCAATATTTAAGATATTTAAAATATAATGTTAATTCTTTGAAACCTCTAAAGATCAAGGTTGTGGAATACTTTTCCCAATTATAGATATTCTTAAGACCCAAACGTCATTTTCAATAGAGTATGCAAAAAATTTAATATTTAGAGTTAGTAACTGCAGTTAAACCCACAAATCACTTTCTATTGGAAAGGCCCCTTCGGTCCAAATCTATTTGGTAGATTTCGTTTTTGAATTAGTATCATAATGTTGTACCCCTTAGGACCATCCTCAACCAAACGTAGGATAACCATCATATCGGTTCAGATATAGCTATAGCTCCCATATATATTGTTCATCCGATTTGTAACTTTTGTGCGCCGCAGCCGTAGTATGCACTCCGTAACAACGATATTCAGGGAAAAATATTTTACCAAAATTTATCGAAATCGGTTCTGATTTGGATATAGCTCCCATATATATATATTTATCCGATTTCAAGTTAATTGTTCACCAAATGGGCAATATAAGTCCGAAATTAAAAGATACAAATGCTTCGGCATATTTAGTCCTTTGAACTTTACATTATAATTATAATCATAGCGTGTATGATTGAATTCTCCCATAAAAACTTTTAATTGTTAGGCGGAGCTCAACTAAATTAGCAAAGTGGTGTAGGGTATCATAAAGTCGGTCCCGCCCGACTTTAAAACTTTCTTTACTGGTTTTTCTTTACTTATGAATTTCCAAAAATATTTACCTCTAAGTACTTTTTATAAACCTAAAGTAGCTAATTTCCATCTCCTCTTGCTCAGAGGGTGAACCTTACAAATAGCTTTCACCTGCAAATTAACAAGGGTGTCATACCATTTTGTGTCCATTACTATTTTTTGCATCCTTTTAGGGTTTATCTAAATAAAATTCTAGGATTCCAGGTCTCTTTGGGCGAAATCCAAACCTTTCGACTCGATCTGACTATGTCCGTCCCTTTATCCATCTGCCGTGCGCACTATAACTCCTGAAGGATCATATCGGTACATAGGTCCTCCGCCACAAAAGATGGTAAAATTTTGAATAAAACCAAGATAAATAGTATCAGTTGGTTTTGCCGATAGATGTATTGAGTTATGATTATTCTAACTATTGACCCTCTATGGGGGAGGTTCGAAACAATTGGCCAATATTGCCCAATTTGTATCTGACTTAAGTCTGATACAAATATTACAACATGCCATATTTGGACGATTTCGCTACTTCCTATACTTTATATGAGATATGTGCAAATTTTTGGAAAATGTAGAAATATGTGTGAGGTACCAGATATAGCGGACAGGTACCAGATACAGCGGATGGATCGAGTTATATACGAAATCATAAATTCAGGTTAATAACATATACATATCAGATTTATGGCTAAGGGGAAAATTAAGATATAGCAAATTCTATAGGCTCGCCGACTTGTTTCGCAAGTCATGCAGATATAAGTATGGGAAATTGTTATCCTTTGTGGGTGAGGTACAAGAAGGGGGTTGGCAGATTTCTATCATTTTCACAACAGATTTTGTGTTCGCAAAAGGTTTGTATGTGTGTCTTCAAATTTGACAGTAGGATGCTTATTTCGCGTTTTATTTTTAAAAATTTGGAAACCTTTGTGGGGTGGACCGATAGATCCCATTTTCACAGCAGATATTGTTAGAATAATGGCATGTGTGAAATTTGAAGAGAACCGGATGCTTATTTCGGATTTTAAGGGGGAGGTACCAGAAGAAATGGTCCGATCTCTACCATTTTTATAACAGATCTTGTGTTGATAGAAATAATAAGATGTGCCAAGTCTGAATGGAATCGGATGTTAACTTCGCGTTTTAGAAGCTTCATGGATATTCAAAATGTTGACCAGAAGGAGTGGACCGATAAATTACATTTTCAAACCAGATCTTGTGTTAATAAAAATATTATAACGTGTGAAAGAAAATCGGATTCATATTTCTCATTTTAAAAATTTTTCACAAATTTTGACCCTTTGCGGGGGAGGTACTTGATGGAGTGGGCCGATACTCTCCATTTTCGCACATGACCTAGCACTGACAAAAATGTAATGATTAGCAAATGTTATGATACTTCCTTTCTTCCAGACAGACGGAGGGACGGAAATCGCTAGGTCGACTCCATGTGTCCTGACACGGATTAGGCCCAAAGAGACCTGGGGTCTAAAAAAAATTATTTCGGTGAGACACGTTCTGGCCATATTAAATGATATATACTCTCTCTTGTCATTTGGATGAGGGTATATTGAGTCGTGTACCCTATATTGTCCAATGTTACGACATGGTAGTATTATCAGACATAGATCAGAAGCAAACCAGTAAAGAAAGTCTTCAAGTCGGGCGGGGCCGACTTTATGATACCCTACACCACTTTGCTAATTTAATAGAGCTCCACATAACAATTAAAAGTTTTTATGGGAGAATTCAATCATACACCCTATGATTATAATTATAAGTTAAAGTTCAAAGGACTAAATATGCCGAAGCATAAGTATCTTTTAAATTCGGACTTGTATTGCATATTTGGTGCACAATTAATTTGAAATCGGATAAAGATATATATGGGAGCTATATCCAAATCTGAACCGATCTCGATAAAATTTGGCAAAGATATTTCTGAGCTGTATTTGATATATTTCCCCAAATATTGTTATTGCATAGTGCATATTACGGCGGCGGTGGACAAAAATAACAAATCGGATGAACAATATATATGGGAGCTATAGCTATATCTGAACCGATTTCGATCAAGTTTGGCATACATATTTTCAGGCCTAATTTGGGTGTATATGTAAAATTCCATACAATTCGGGCTGATATTACACGTTTGGTGCACAATAAAAGGCAAATCGGACGAAGATATATATGGGAGCTATATCTAAATTTTGACCGATTATCTCCAATTTCAATAGGGTTCGTCCTTGGGCCAAACAAAAGATCTTTGCAAAATTTCATCTGGATCGGGCAATAAATGCGACCTGTTCTTTGTTTACAAAAATACATGGACAGACGGACAGACGGACGGAAAGACGGACGGACGGACGGACATGCATAAATCGACTCAGAATGTGATTCTATGCATGTGATCCTTCTGCCTGTTACAAACAAATGCACAAAGTCATAATACCCTGACCACCTTGTGGTGTAGGGTATAAAAGTGGAAATATTGGCTCACTGTTGCCCTACATTCCCCTTAAAGGGAATGTGTTGAAACATGAAAATATGTTGGTCCACGCTTTTTGGATATCGTTCGAAAAGGGTTAGCTCGATGTTTTTCCCACTCCCAGAAGTAATCCTGCTCAAATTCGAGTAGAGAGTTAAGCTCGCTTGAAATCGAGCCGCATAAACTTTTGTCTAGTGCTCTTTTAGTTTATGTTAACTCGTATTCCTCAATCCTCACAGGCAAGTCTCACTCCTAATATGATTTAAAGATAGCAACTCCAGTTAATTTCTAAAGACACCCGATTAGCACCTCCAAAACTCAGCCTCAGAAAAAAAAAACTTAAAAATAATAAAAACGAAATTAAAACTCCCAGCATCATTTTTGGTGTTGTAAAAAATGCAACAAATTTATTCACAATTTTTTTAGTAACGCCTTTACATTTTGTGTTGCACAGTGGAGCGAGAGAGTTCGATAAGATCGTTATGAGAACAATGATGAGAAACAAAATGAGAGAGTTATTAGCTATCGTTTTTCTTTTTTCAATAATCGTTAACGTTCACAGCAAATGTGGCAATTTCCTAAGTGTCTTAACACACTACACGTTAAAAGTATGCAACAGGTGACAATTGAGTACATAGTATGCTAAGAGAATATATACTTTTGCATGGAATTGATGAATTTGATGTGTCTACACAGAGGGAGAGTTATATCATCTACCCATACGTCATTGGTTTCGATTTTCAGCATTAATTTCTTAATATTGTTTTAGTTTTTTGTTTTTGGTATTACAATTTAATTTAGTTGCTAAATAATATACTTTATAATTATTATATGTATGTATATATCCATAATTGATTATTATTGGTTTTTTTTCTTGTTTCCTTTAATATATTAAATAATACATAAAAAATTATTATTATTATTATTTTAAAATTCTACACAAAAAAAATAATTAATTATTAATATTGTTTTAGTCCTCATTGCATTTTATGATTTTGTTGTTTTTCTTGATTTTCTATAAAATAAGTTCAAAAAGATCGTTCATGTTTTTTTGTTGTTCTTGGGATTTATTCATTTGTTTTCAGTCCAATTATGTCCTCTTTGGGGTCCGTCATGGAAGTCATTTGAGTAGTGGTCGAATAAAATGGTCTCATTACTAGATCACTATGTGGTTTTCATTTTCATTTCAATTTTTTACATTATTTTATCATCATAAATATGTGTCTATCGTAATAATTATAATTATTATTAGAATATAAATATAAAGTATGATTCGGGATTTGTGTTTTGGTTTTTTTTTTAGATTTTGGTTTAATAGGGATATAGATTTTTCCGCTTGAGTTCCATATCAAGATCAGCCAATTGTTGTAGGAAACCATCATTGGGATGAATATCACGATGCATGCGCACTTTGCGAATGGCCTCAACGGCGGTCATTTTCCGGCAAATCATAAGATAGGCAAGAACGCACGTAGCCGAACGGGACATACCGACCAAACAGTGCACCAAAACACGACCTGTGAATGGAATAAAAAAAGGGATTAATATTTTTTTAAGAAATCATGAAAAATATTGAAGACAATACATAAAAGGACAAGGAGTCCTGACAAATATTCTAAATTAAAGTTTTGAAAAATATTCAGTCGGGGTTTCGGCTGAAATACATTCAGCATTTGGCCATACATTTATTTATACTCTTTTCGGAGGTGGTATAGATTTACATTGGACCTATACTTCCCATAGTAATACAAGATCTAATATTTTTGGAAATAATTCAAGGTGCGAAGAAAACTCAGGAATAATATCGGGAACAACTTAGTTTAGTAAAAATTCTTCGATTTTTTTCCAGAGGTAGGTATTTCTTACCCTGACTGCGGAAAATTATTTCTTTTTCGATTGAGTTGAAATTTAGCAAATAATTCGGTACTTTTAATGACTTTAGCATTATTCACCGGAATCGTTTCAGATTTGGTATTTGAAGTTCGTAATGGATACTTCAGCCTAAAACAGAAAATGGGCTGTGAAGGTCCACGTCTTCGTATAGCCCCATATACGGTAATGTGCGACAATATTCATCGGAATTATTTCAAATTTGGTATTTGAAGTTCGAATTGGATGCTACAGCCTACGACAGAAGATTATCTGTGTAGGTTCACGTCTTCGTATAGCCTCCATATAACGGTACCTCCCGATATTCGGTATTTTGATGATTTTATCAACATTATTCACCAGAATTGTTTCAAATTCCATATTTGAAGTTCGCAATGGATACTACAGCCTATGACAGAAAATGGTCCATACAGGTCCACGCCTTCGTATAACAGTACCTCCCGATATTCGGTACTTTTAATGATTTTAGCATTATTCACCGGAATTGTTTCAAATTTGATGTTTGAAGTTCGTAATGGATACTACAGCCTATGACAGAAATTGTCTGAGCAGGTCCACGTCTTCGTATAGCCCCATATTCGGTATTGTGATGATTTTAGCAACATTATTCACCGGAATTGTTTCAAATTTGATGTTTGAAGTACGTAATGGATACTACAGTCTATGACAGAAATTGTCTGTGCAGGTCCACATCTTCGTATAGCCCCCATATAACGGTACCTCCCGATATTCGATGATTTTAGCTACGTTATTCACCGATTTTTTTCAAGTTTCGCGTTTGAATATTGTAAAGGGTTATGACAAAAGTTGCCGTCGTCGTATAGACCCAAATATAACGGCTAAATTCGGTAATTTTAAGATCTTAACTGGTTTTATTTATTTTTTTTTTTAATTTTTTTTTTTTTAAGATTACCAAATTCGTTCAAAATTGTGGAGGGTATTCAAAGATCGGCCAGGCCAAACTAACAGTTTTTTCCTTTTTTTGTGTGTCTGAAAAACTTTTTTATGCTCTTAAAAATCACCCTTTTTATTGAACAATTAAACAAAAGGATTTTAACCAGTATCTTCAAAATTTATGCAAGTAGTCAATATGTCTAGGCATCATAGATTTTCTACTAAAAATACTTAATGCATACTTTTAGGAGTTGAAATATTGGTAATACATAAAACATATTAGTAATAATAATGGTAATATAATAATATAATATATACATAAACATTAAAAGCCACTAATATTTACCTCCACTGCTCAGGGCGTTGTCAATGAATTTGGCGGCCACATAGAAATAACGTGAAATATCTGTCGTCGGAGCATCAACCATTGGGAAGCCCATATACCTGAAAATAGTGTCTTTGTTGTTTCTTCTGCTCTCATTCAAAAATAAAATATTTATATGTTTTTTTTTATGAACGATATATCGCGTTGCATGATTTTCCGCATATCATGTATTATGCATGTGTGAGTAGTATATGTTCATGTTCATGTGTATGTGCGAGTGGGTGTGTGCGATATATTTTCATTTCGTGATCATGTCGTATTTGTAATCGATTCAAATGCAATATTTTACAAGGCAAATGAATTTAAAATTACATTATAATGCCAAAAGGAGTTGTTATAATTGGTGTGTGTAAATTTTGATTGTTGTCGTAGTAGTGGTATCGATGTGATAAGCAGCGAGTTTTGTCAAGAAAATATGAAAATATAAATTTTGAAATAAATTAATAAAAATAAATAAATTAATCAATAATACAAGTATACAGAACATAGTTACTTGGTTTTTATTGAGATGAGATTTTTTATTGCTTCGCCAAAACTAAAGTAACCCTTTGACCATAAATGAACTGTAGTGGTCATTTAGCTGGCGCTTTTTGATTAAAAGCTCGCTCTAACTTCAGAACATCTTTCATAATGAAGCTTTTTAAAATTCGTACTAAGCGGTACTAAAGACTAGAGAGTAGAAATTGTAGTGTTTTTGGGAATTTGTTCTAAGAAATTCTACAAATTATACTTTTTAGCCTTAAATTTTAAAAATTTTCGTGAATTCACGGATATGGTAGTGTATTCGAGAATTCATATCAAATAGGTTTCAAATTACTAAAAACTTTTTTGCCTCATTTTTACTACACCAGCGAGTGGTTTTGCTTTTATACCCTCCATCATAGTACGGGAGGGTACATTAATCATTCCGTTTGTAATACCCCGAAATATACATTTTAGACCCCACAAAGTATATATATTATTGATCAGCAATAAATTTAATGTTGATTTGGCTATGCAGGTCCACGTCTTCGCATTGACCCTAAAATGGTATTTTTAAGATCTTATCAGAAATTTAAATGATTCTATTTTCTATTTTATTTTTTGAAAATTTTTAACTTTTTTCCACATGGGGAAGAATGCTTTTTAACTTCGTAACTTTGTTTTTTTTATTTTTAATAATGAATACTGTTTTTAGGTAATTTAAATAATAATTGTTATAAGAGCTTTAAAGCATTTTTTATTATTCGACCAACGTCGGGAAGGCCATTGAAAGCATCCTGGAACGCGAGTGAATTTCAGAACATCGATTAATGTTACCAGGTGAGTGGAACGAAAATAAGGCCAGACAGTCCATAGTATACCGTCGTGGGTCAAGGCAAAACATTTATTCAAACATGTATTTCGCATAGAATCCAAGTGCCGTCGTGGTCCTTTATTATTAAATAACTCAACCATTTGGGACGAATTTGGAAGTGTTCAAAAAAATTAAAACCGTTAAAAATTCTGTTAATATCTTAAAAATTCCGAATATAACCCTTATATTGGATTCTAGCTAAATTTATCAAAATACCGCATGCAGGTAGGTACCGATATATGGGGCTACGAAGACCTGGTCCTGAACAATTTTCTGTAACAAAATACCGAATATAGGGAGGTACCGATATATACGAGAACGAGGACCAGCATAGACGATATTTTGTCATAGGCCCATTACGAACTCTAAATACGAAATTTTAAACAACTCCCGTAAATAATGTTGCTAAAATCATCTAAATACCGAATATCGGGAGGTACTGTTATATGGGGGTTATATAGACAATAATCTTCCAGGGGGTAAAGTATCCAGAAGGAACTTCTTGTGTGGATTTTCAGACAATTTCATTAAAAAATTTGGCTGCAATCATCGAAATGTCTAATATCGGGATGTACCGTTGTATGGAGGCTACATAATATCGTGAACCGATATAGCCCATCTTCGAACTTGACCTGCATGCAGACAAAATACTGATCTGTGCAAATTTTTAGCTTCCTATCAGACGAACAGGGCTAAATAGTCTTAGAATTTTACGCTGATCCAGTATATACATACTTTTTTAGGTCTAAAATTATTATTTCGATGAGTTACAAACGGAATGACGAACTTAATAGACCCTACATACTATATATGATGGAGGGTATAAAAATAGGTCATATAGGTCCGTTTTTTCATATAGGCCCGATACAACTGTACTGTCAGATTTAAGGTTTTTTGGAACATACTATGTATGTTCTTTTTGCGGATGGATATGATGATGTTTAGTATTCAAAATGTTGACCCGTTGTGGCGGAGATACAAGAAGGAATGATTTGATCTATTCCTAGTCATACTAGATCTATAATTGGGAGAGCCGTTGGAATATGCATTCGGATTCTTCCATTACATTTTATAAACATTTCCTTATTCAAAATGTGGGGGTGGTACCAGCAGGAGTGGGCCGATCCATCTATCTTTTTATCAGACCAAGATAAAAGTTGGGATATGAAAAATTTAAGGACAAATGGACTCGTTTACATTTTATAAACATTACGAGGGAGGTACAAAAAGAAGTAAAGCAGTAGCGCCCATTTTAGCACCTTATCTAGCACTATAAATATTAAGATTTACAAAGTCGGAAAGAAATCGAATGATCCTTTCTTTTTCGATGAAGCCGTTCGCAGCTATGGGGCCTCTGTTTCTTAAAAGCATGGAAAATTTTGCGGAAGGATTAAGGTTTGAAGCCCTTCGAAATACACCTAGTGCAATAACTTAAGCTTATCAACCTACTGCCATGCAGAATCTTTTATAGGGAAATTGTGTTCAACGACGAAGCTGATTTTTAGTACAAAGGGTACGTTACTAAACATAATTGTCAAGTTTGGAGTGAAGATCAGACAGAAGCAAAAGCTACCAACCATCCGGAAAAAGTCGCAGTTTGGTACAAGTTAAGGGATGGAGGCATCATTGATTATACTGCCAAGTTAAAAATTCCATTACCAAATAATGGTTTTCTAACCTTTTTTTGAAAATCGTAACTACTTAGAAATAAATCTACTAAATAATTCGTTTTGAAAAGAAAAGTCGACAAATAAATTGAAACCAAAAAAAAAATTATGAAAGATGTAAGCGCACACTCTATGCCGACTTTACTCATTACTTGGTAATGAGTTCACTAAGTTATGTTTATATTGCATCTATTTAAGGAATATTCCATTACTTTCAATCTACTGATGATATTGAAGGTTGTTTGTTTACATTACCCCTTCTTGGATTATTTGCCTAATTTCCACTAACTCCCACTCTGAAAAAAACTCAAACAAATATCTCTCTGTATACTCGTGTACAATTAAATTAAACAAATTAAACCACAAAAATAATTCTCTGTAATTAGTTAATGGTGAAAAACGTATGAGTTAATCAAATGTGAATGCTCCACTCTGGCTGACGTGACATGAGTGACATATGAGAGCTACCTCAAAAAAAAAAACATTACCTTATGCTTGGCATATCACGATAATAGCTGTGCCCTGTATCAACTTGGCCGTAACGACAACCCTCGGCGGCATTTAAGACATGTGTAATTCCTTTCATGCGCAGGAAAGTTTTATTTTTCGCCGAAGCTCTGTACAAATGAAATTAATTTTAAATTATATGTCATCCGAAAATGAAAATTCAGCCAGGGCCATGGTGGCACCAGCCGCCGCTACTTACGCATCACCAATATAGATACCGGGATACACTTCATCACAGTCAACGTCATGAATGGCACATTCGGATCTTAGGGGTCCTTGCATGCATGGTGTCATTGAGTAGTGGAGGACTCGTTGCAATTGGCGTCCTGTGGTATGTTCACTTGAGGTGCCGGCAGCTGTCTCCAGACGACTGGGCGACTGAAAAAATACAAAACAGAGCGAGAGAGAAAGACAAAATTATTCTCTTGAAACAAATAAAGTCCATTATTATACACACACACACGAGATGTATATATGTGTGTGTGAGAGACAACATTATGCATAATCTTTATAACGTTTACACATTCAAACTCATCCATCCATCCTTCGCCGCCTTTGCGTATAAAATTTGTTTTTTTTTTAATTCATATGCCTTGGTCATGGTAATAACTCATCTAGCCATGAAGAACACAAAATCCCCATTGACATTGGCCAAGAAAACCATTCGTGCAGTATGTGATGACATGCATTCGGACGACTGACTGACTAACTGAACGAATAAAGTCAAGTCCGTTGCCAAGATGTCATACAAATAAATTACAATATATAAATACATATGTATATCCTTCCAAGTCCAAAGATGCAGTGCTATGGCCATGCATGAGATCAGTGGATTTTCGTTGGGGCAAGGAAATACAATAACAAAAACCCTGAGCGCCAACACAAGAGGACAAAAACAATGGATTCAATGTCAATGTGACAATGGCAATGACAATGACAATCATTGACAAGGTAGGTCGGCCGGTAGGAAAACAGAACGGTTTAATGATTTAACAATCAAGGTTAACCCCAATATCAAGCCTGTATCCTACAAGAAAATTTAGTTTAAGAACCCAAAAATTAATAGGGTCGAACCAATGACCTAACACTTTGACCAATTCAAACAGTCCAGTCCAAAAAGTCCAAATACCTGAAATCATGACCCCAAGGAATGTATGACCCATTTTAATGCCAAATATTCTGAAGATAATAGGAAGGGCTTAACTGTAGTTTAGTAAAAACTCTCAGATTTTTCTAGAGGTAGGTATTTGTACCCTGATTCCGGAGCAGTACTTTTATACCCTACACATAGTGGTAAGGGTATTTGCATTTGTTTGTAACATGGAGGTGGAAGCGAGATAGACCCATAGTTATTTTTGAGGATCTTCATAGAATAACTTTTTGAGTCGATTTATGCATGTCAGTCCATCTGTCCGGCCGTCCATGTATTCTTGTGAGCTAAATACAGGTCGCACTTATAATACAATTGAGATGAAAATTTCCAAACAAGGACAAACCTTATTGAAATTGGTAAGAATCGGCTCAAATTTAGATATCGCTCCCATATATCTTCAACTGATTTCGGTTTAAAATTGCACCAAATGGCCAATATGAGTCCAAAAGTCCTGAAATTTTGTTCATCCAACCGAATTAAGTCTCGAAGTAGGTACGTCGAATTTTGTCAAATCGGTTCAGATATAGCTATAGCTCCCATATACATGTTTCATCTGATTTGGTGTTTAAGTCCCTCACATTCTTAATATGCATTCGACAACAATGATATTTGGTACCAGATATCTTATAGAGCTCGGAAATACCTTTGCCAAATTTTATTAAGATTGGTTCAGATTTGGATATAGCTCCCATATATATCCTTAGTCCGATTTCAGGGGTTTTGTGCAAATAATGGCTAATATCAGCCCAGATGGAGTTAATTTCGGGACATACGTTTCCATTTTGTGCAGCTCGGCTCCGATATATATTTTTTAATATAACCCTTCTCCATGCACTCTATAGCAAACTATAACTGCTCTAAAGCCAAATGTTGATAGGTGGTATGATCTACTTGAAATAAATTTTTATTGTTACTGGAGCTCTTCTAAATATGCATAGTGTTGTAGGGTATCGTACAGTTAGACCCGTCCGACTTTTGACTTTTCCTTACTGTTTCTTTTTTTAAATCGCCCAAAAATTGAAAAAGGACCGCTTTTGAAAGTCCACAAAATATATGCCAAATTATAGTTTAAAATATTTTTTATCTTTCCAGGATCCAGAGACGTGAGTCCTTGAACCCGGACGGGCCGATTCTTTAGAGTACATGAAAATTATGTTTTGGTGTAAAAAAAATTATTTCGCGTAGCTAGTGTTGGACATAACCAGAGGCCAAGATCGAATTTAGCAAAACGTTCGTTACCGAAACCGGTGTAGAGCATACCCAGAGGAAAAATTCTCAAGCCCTGTATGTACCCCATAATGAGCCCTTTTTCTGACTTTTTTTGGGTTTTATAAAAAATCGAGCCTAAAAAGTAAAAAATTATTATTTTTCAAAATATTGACGCTTTATGAAAGAGATACCGAAGTAGTGGACCAACATTGTCCATTTCGTATTCCACCTAACTTTGATATAAATATTACGCCGTGTCAATCTTGGACAATATCGACTTTCGTTAGTTATGTACCAGAAAGAGTGGACCAATATATCTTACATATTTGCATTGGATCAGCCGTAGATAGCAATAACGCTGATTTGTTTCTTAAAATTTTTCAAAATTTGTACCCCAAATGGGGAGCGGGTCAATAAATCTCAAATTCATATCAGATCTTGTGTTGGTAGAAATATTGGGATATGCCTCGTTTGAGAAGAATCGGGTGATTATATCGCATTTCATGGGTTTAATAATTATTCAAAATGTTGACCCATTGTGGAGTAGGTACCACAAGAAGCGGTCCGATATATCCCATATTCATACAAGATCATGTGTTGGCGGAAGTATTGGGATGTGCCCAGTTTGAAAGAATTCGGTGCTTATATCGCTTTTTATGAGTTTAATAATTATTCCAAATATTGACCCTTTGTGGGGGATACCAGAAGGAGTGGTCCGTTCGATCCATTCGTCACACCATTATGTTCCAAGTTTGGACAAAATCGGATACTCCCTTCTAGAGTTATCGTTCGCACCAGCAAGCCCCGAATGATATATGCCCTCTCTACCCGTTTGGCTGAGGGTATAAAAACCGGTAGAAAAATACAGCAAAAATTATAAAAAAGCACCGAATATCGTTGCATATGCAAGCTGTAGTACACATTAACTAAAATTAAATACAGAATCTTGGGAGCTACCGATATATGGACCTGTACGATTTCTTGGGAGGTACCGATATATGGGGCCTATACGAAGAACTGAACTGTACTTTCTTACCCATTTAAAGCTTTAGATACAAAATGTGAAAAAATTCCGGCCAAAAATGTATCTAAAATCATCAAAATGCTGGATATCGTGAGTTATCGTTATATTGGGACCCATACGAAGACGAGGACCTGCATGTGCAATTTTCTGTCATATGCTGCAGTACCCAGTAGGAACTTCATATGCGAAATTTTAAATAATTTCAGTGAATAACATGGCTAGACTTGGATTAAAAAAGTAAAAAAGCAGTAAAAGGCCACTTGAAAATACCCTTCACCATTTTAAAGAAACTTGGAAATTTTCAAAAATAAAAATCGAAAACTACTACCTAAATGAAAACCGTTATATGGGGACTATACGGAGACGTGGTCCTGCATACGAAAATTTTAGTCATAGGTTGTAGTATCCATTACGAACTTCAAATACGAAATTTGAAACGATTTCGGTAAATAATGTCGCTAAAATCATGAAAATACCGAATCTTAGGAGGTACCAATATATGCGGCCTATGCGAAAACGTGGACATGCATATGTTATTTTCTGTCACTGACAGTAGTAACAGTTAGGAACTTCAAATACGAAATTTGAAACAGTTCCGGTGAATAATGTCATTAAAATCATAAAAATACCAAATATCGGCAGTTACCGTTATATTGGGGGGCTATACTTAGACGTGGACATAGCCCATACCAATACTAAAAATTCTACAAAATTTTATCAACCTACTTCATTTTTTTCGGAAGCTAGAGTGATTTCCACACAGAGAGACGGACGGACATCGCTAAATCGACATAGAATTGAATGCCGATCAGAAATATATATATACTTTGTGGGGCTTAAAATGTATATTTCGAGGTTTTACAAACGGAATGACAACTTAGTATACCCTCCATACTATGGTGGAGGGGGGTATAAAAAGTCACACACTCACAGTGATCTTAATAACAAAATGACCAATTTCAGCTATTTTCCGTCACGATGTACCAAATTTAGTACCATTTAGAACTTTTCGTACATTTTACAGTACGAACTTTAGATTCGATATTTTTACATCAGGCATGCTTTCCATCTTTCATTCCGATATACAATTTTAAGATTTTAGCTATGTCTGTTTTCAGCACATCATGGTACCAAATTAGTACTTTTAGTACTAATAGTACTTAGTACTTTCGCACACTTAAAGTTTGAATCTCCTGAAAGCCTTCTGATTCATCTATGCCACGATTTCTCCTCATTGTAAATTTCAGAATTCTAACACTATACATTCCCCCAATACCAGATACCAGTACCAGTACCAAATTTATACTTTAATTTTGTCCAAGTGATATATAAGTAAATATGGCCAGAAATTGCGACCGACAATGACCTTCGCCCACCGACGTGGTCGGAAATGCATTTTGAAACCATTTTGGGGATGGGATGGTGGCAATCCAAAAATGTGCATTTTAAGCAAAATTCTCTAAACATAGCTTAAAATGTACAATATCTGAGGGGGCCGGGTCCCCTGGTTACTTCGGTGCCATTACCAAAATTTCTTCAAAAATGATTCTGGGTAAAAATCAAATCATTTTCTCGTTACATTATAAAAATTTAATCATATTGTTTTTCTTTTTTCTGAATAACATTGTCATTGCACTTGTCACACATATGACAATATGAAAGAAGAAAAAAAAAACACATTAACAAAAGAAAACCACTATCATCTTGTCCTTCCTCCTGCTCCTCCCCACCCCTACAACATTTCATTCATGCACACTTTCACTTTCTAATGTACAATACATGTATATGGGTGCATAGAATTTTTACAATGACCCTGAAACACAACAATGGCAATAGAAAAATGTACAAAGCAAAACCTCTACTAATTTGTCGGATTTGTCTGTCTGTCGTCGCGTTGTTCTGTCGCCTGTATTATTTTTTGTAGTTTTTTGGTACTTCTCTCCTGTCGACACAGCAAAATGGCAGCATTTTGAGAATCTGTTTCGTTTAATATGCCAATCTATGTGTGAGATATGCCTGTGTTTAGTTTTTTCGGCTATTTCTTTTTTGCAGTTGCAATTCGCCACATTGCTCATTATTGGCCCATAGCCAACGTGTGACAAAAAAAAAACACCAGGTTACAATAACAACAACATCGACGTCAAACATGAAATCTCAAAAACAAAAAACCGACAGATATGCAAATAACACCAAGTAACGGAGGCGAAGAAAAAATGCAATCGAAGGAATCAAGAAAACAAGAAGTTAATTATATGCAGGAATTTCACTGTTAGGTCTAAAAGAAAATGGGAATAAGCCAAGTAAAAATATAAATAGAGAGGTGTACAGTGGGCCAAAGTCAACTAGGAGTAGATGAGTTTTCACACCTGAATTACAGTTAATTTCGATTACGATTTGTTAATTTAAAACATCATTCGACACTCGACGGCCAGAAAGACGGATATGGTCTTATCGACTACAAATATTTTTGTTTCCCAATACTTGCATAGCAGATTTAAAAAATCCTCATTTGTTGAGATCCTGCTAATGTAATGGGTCTCCCAAAAAAATTTTTTTGTATCCTCCACCATACATAGTATGGAGGGTATATTACGTTCGTCATTCCGTTTGTAACTCATCGAAATAATCATTTTAGACCCAACAAAGTTTCTTGATCAGCGTAAAATTCTAAGACGATTTAGCCCTGTTTGTCCGTCTGTCCGTCTGTTGTGATCACGCTACAGTCAAAACGAATTAAGATAGGAACCTAAAATTTTGCACAAATCTCTCTTTTGTCTGCAGGCAGGTCAAGCTCGAAGATAGGCTATATCGGGCCACGATATCGATATTTTATCCCTTGGAAGAGAATTATCTATATAGGTCCACGATACCGTATAGCCCCCATAAAACGGTACCCCCGATATTCGGTAATTTGATGATTTTAGCCACATTTTTCAATGGAATTGTCTGAAATTCCATACAAGGAGTCCCTTGCGAGCAATTTACCCCCTGAAAGAGAATTGTCTATATAGGTCCACGATATCGTATATCGCCCCATATATCGGCACCTTCCGATATTAGGTATTTTAAAGATTTTAACAGAATTTTTAATGGATTTAACTTCTTTTTAAATTATTTAATTCATTCCAAATGGTGGAGGGTATTGAAAGTTCAGCCCATCCGAACTTACTGCTTTTTTACTTCTTTTAAAGTCTCCTCGCTCATATTCGAAGAAAAATGACCAAAATCAGCATTACTGGCTTTTCAATGTAAACGTTAGATAACTGACCCTATAGAAAAGTCCCCCTTTCCTCATAAAATAAGTCTATACAGGTTAGGTTATATTATCCACACACTAAACTATCTGTGCCCCAGCACAGGTCATGTTTAATCCTTGAGGGTCTAGTCTACCCTTAAAGTATTACAGATTGGATGCTGAAGTTATTAAGGGTTCTTTTAAAGTCACTATATACAGGGTGAGATAAAAACAAGTAAAAAAACAGTAAGTTCGGCCGGGCCAAACTTTTAATACCCTCCACCTTAGGGTAAAGGAAACATTAGAAGAAATGTGGCGAAAACCATCAAAACACCGAATATCGGGAGGTACCATTGTATGGGGGCTATATCAAATCATGGACCTATACATACAATGTTTCATCAACGGAGCTGGAACCCATTATGGCTACAAATTCCAATTTTGAGACAAATCCGTGAAAAAATGTGGCAAAGATCATCAAATTACCGAATATCGGGAGGTACCATTATATGGGGGCTATACCAAAACGTGGACCTATAATTACAATGACTCGCCACACGCACAGGGACCCATTATGACCTACAAGTACCAATTTTCAGAGTAATTCTTGAAAAAATGTATCAAAAATCATCAAAATACCGAATATTGGGAGGTACCGTTATATTGGGACTATATCAAAACGTGAACCTATAAATACAATGTTCCGCCACACGAACTAGAACCCACTAATACCCACAAATACCAATCCTTATACGAATCAGTGAAAAAATGTGGCAAAAACCATCAAAATACCGAATATTGGGAGGTACCGTTATATGGGGGCTATACCAAATCATGGACCCATATATGCAATGTTTCGTCACCGGAACTGGAACCCATTATGACCAACAAATACCAATTTTTAGACACATCCGTGAAAAAATGTGCAAAAAAATTAAAATACCGAATATCGGGAGGTACCTTTATATGGGGACTATACCAAAACGTGGACATACATGCAATATTTTGCCACACGCACAGGGACCCATTATAACCTACAAGTACCAACGGACAGACAGACAGACGGACATCGTTAAATCGACTTAGAATTTTATGTTGATTATGAATATATATACTTTATGGGGTCTACGACGAATATATAAGGATGTTACAAACGGAATGACAAAGTTAATATACCCTCCTTTCCAAGGTGGAGGGTATAAAAACTGCAACAAAGGCAAACGCCGTATTTTTTAGCATCAAATTTTAGAATAAGTTTAGATTTGTTCGAATTGGTCACCTTTCGCAGGAATTATGGCCTTCAAACGGACAATGAAACCGTGACACGCTGTCCAAATTTTGCTCTGCGCTATTTTGGTCCATTCCTGGCGAAACGCTTGCTTGAGGTGATCGACACTTTGGTATTTTTTAGTGCCAACCTTGCTTTCCCAAATACTTCAGACACAATAGTCCAACAGATTGGTATCCGGAGATTTTGGTGGTCATTGTGCGCTGGAAATGAAGGGAGGAACCTCACTTTGTAAAGATTCTTGGGTGGCGCGTGTAGAGTGCGATGGTGCTGAGTCCTGTTGGATTGTCCAAGGTCTGCAGCCAAAGTTTGCGTGTCCAAGGCATTAATACACCCTCCAGAATATTTTCGCGATAATATTCGCCATTTATTCTGATGCCACGGTCGATTAATACGAGCGGAGAGTGACCATCGGCTGTTATGACGGTCCACACCATCACCATAGCCGGCGCTTGAGATGTGGTGGCCAACTGAAAGTGCAGATTTTCAGCAGAACTCTTTGGCATGTAAACACGATAATTTAGTTTGTTTACAAATTGCTGGACAACGAATGTTTTCTCATCGGAGCAAACCAAATTCGTCAGTTCACCACTTTCGGCCAAGCGAAGCAACTCTTTAGTTCTTTTGAGTCTCTTTTCTTTCTGCTGCGGTCTAAGTTCTTGCACTTTTTGGAATTTCAATGGCTTTACCCCGTGCCCATTTTTCAATATTTGCCGAATGAAATATTGCGATATGTTCAGCTCATGAGGCATTTTTCGGCCACTGCGACGCTGGTTTCGATCAAGTGGCTTCTTTACTTTTCGAATCATTTCTGCTAATGTTCCTGTTTTCTTCCGTCCACTTCCTTGACGTCAAGCTACGCTACCAGTATCACGGTAACGAGTGATGGTGCGAGACACAAAAGATGTATTCACATTAAAATGCTGGAGTGCTCTAAAGATAGCCACTTGTGGTTTTCCAGCCAAATATAGAGAAATCATATCACGCTTGAATGTCATCACAAATAACTTTTTTTCTGGAAAATTCTCACCAAAATGCTTTTTTCCGCTTGTAAACAATGTAATGAGCTGTCACTGGAATAATTTTAACAGTTGTCGGACGAGTGGCCTAGGAATGACAGCAGTCTGAAAATGGTTGCAGTGTTTTCATCTCATCCTGTATATTCTTGATCAGTTTAAAATTCTAGGACGAGTTAGCACTGTCCGTCCGTGCTAAAATCTTGCATATATCAGTCTATCGTCTGCAGGCAGGTTAAGTTCGAAGATGGGCTATATCAGATCACGATATTCGGTATTTTGATGATTTTAGTCAAATTTTTCAATGAAATTGTCTGAAAATCCTCAAAGGAGTTCCTTCCTTCCTGGAAGAGTATTGTCTATATATCTCTACGATATCGTACAGAATTCATACAACAATATCTCTCTATTTTCTGTATTTAGATAATTTTAGCTATATTTTCAATGGAATTGTCTAAAAATCCATACCAGAACTTCTTTCTAAGCACTTTACCCCCTGGAAGAAGAGGATATTTTAATGGTTCTAGGGACATTATTCACCGGAGTTGTTTCAAATTTCGTATTTGGAGTTTGTAATGGATACTACAGCCTATGAGAGAAAATTGTTTATGCAGGTCAAGGTCTTCGTATAGCTCCGATATAACGGTACCTCCCTATATTCAGTATTTTCACCGTATTTTTTTAAGTTTCGTATTTGAGTATTGTAATGGCTTACGACTAAAGTTGCTTATGCAGGTCCACGCCTTCGTTTAGACCCCAATATAACGGTCATATTCGGTATTTTTGAGATTTAAACAGAATTTTTAACGGATTTAATTTTTTTTTTAAATTTCCAAATTCGTTCCGTGCTTCAACCTAACTGCTTTTTTACTTGTTTATTTTTTCATTTCCATTTTTAATAAATTCATTCCTTTTTATCTTCATTTTCAATTCATTTTCTAGAATATATTTTCGGGTTAATATATCAAACCTTAAAATTATTGTTATTGCATTAAACCAATTAGCCTATTTCAAGAAAAAAAAGAAGCATTACAAGAACGAGAATAGCAATCAATTAACATATGACGGGCACTTAGACAACGTGACAAGAGCGACAGACATCGCTGCAACAACAAAAACGATGAAAACATTTTCTGTTTTTCAGCGCCTAAAAGTTGGCTTGTGTTATTTTTAACATTGTAAGCCTAATAATATACCACATTTTGTTAAAAAAAAAACCACATGACATTCACAAGGTTAGACGAAAACGATGAACATTATTTCTAAGAATTATGACAGAATAGAAGAGAATTTTAAAAGAGGAAAGCAACAAAACATAAGCGACTTTACAATACAAGCACGTGTTCACGTGCACTTTTTTTATTTGCAACTAGCGTACGACTTTTTTTTGCTATGGAACGACCAACAAACAACAAAAACATATAGCCAACCTGATAGTACAGAGTACTGTATCTGTCACTGATTGGAGTGTAAGATCTTTGATAGGGAAGCTGTAAAAAAAAATAAACAGAATAAAATGAAATAAACGGAAATTAAATAAATAATTGAAAAATAACTTAAATTATGTTTAAAATAAATTTAAATAAATAAATTTTAATTTTAAAATATTTAAACGTAAGAAGATTATTTTTTTTTGTAATAAATTATCACAATTTTAATTGAATAATAAATAATTCAAGGAAATTGTAAATGTATAAAATAAATATAAAACTGTGACACAAACAAAAAATAATGACAAGGAAAATCCAATAAATTATGAAAGCAGAGCTGAAAATAGAAGACACACATCTCGGCGTTTTGAAAGTATACATCGAAAAGTAACCCAAAAAGGGTCAAGTTTCCCAATCTTCCACTTTTTTTAACTTTTTCGGATTAAGATTCTATAGAATCCGTTGATTTTTGACACATAGTGTCTTCGGCAATATTACAGATAATAATACAAAGATTATTTTGGTAGGAAATGTTAACCCTCAAGGGAGTCGCCCTTTTGGTCCTTTTTTTAAATTTTGATTTAAAACTCCCCTTAAACGGGATCATTGCTAGTCAAAATATTCCACAAAATTATTTGTCATAAAATTCAATAAAATTCAAAAGTCTAAGTCTCCCCTAAATACCAGGAATTCATTTACGAGTATATTAAAAAAAAAAACATTTTAGGGTTAAAGCAATACCCTATGAAAATTCATGCAAAAATCTCCAATAAAACATCATTTTAGAAGGATAACGTGAAAGACGAAAATATTCTTAATCAAATTTCAATATAAGTTATAAAAGAAAATAAATCAATATTTCCATTGTATATCCCAAAAATATTGTACAATTGTTGCCAAAAAAAAAGCTCGAAAATATATAATATTTTTTATGATAAATGTTTCTTTGGACTTTTTCGAGTTGACGCCTAAAAGTTACATTAAGTTTCTTTTTTGGCAGAAAGTGTGAAAAGAAGGAATATTCTATACAGAATTTAACTTTAAAAGAATAAAAAAAACACAAATAAAAATGCCGGGCCGAACGTTGAATACCCTCCACCATTTGGAGCGAATATGGCAATTCTCAACAACAATAAAATCCGTTAAAAATTTTGTTGAAATCTTAAAAATGTAGTTGTTATATTAGGGTCTATACGACAACATGGACCTGCATAGGTAACTTTTTCCATAAACCATTACAATATTCAAATGCGAAGCTTAAAAAACAATCGGTGAATAATGTCGCTAAAATCATCAAAATACCGAATATCTGGAGGTACCGTTATATGTGGGCTATACGAAGACGTGGGCCTGCACAGACAATTTTCTGTCATAGGCTGTAGCATCCATTACGAACATCAAATACCGAATTTGAACAAATTCCGGTGAATAATGTCGCTAAAACCAACAAAGTACCGAATTTCGGGAGGTACCGTTATATGGGGGCTATACCAAAACGTGGACCTACATGGTCCATTTTCAATACCAAAGGTCCTGCAGACATAATATACTTTTGAGGAAAATTTTATCAATCTACTTGAATTCGGAAGCTAGAGTGATTTCCACAGACGGACAAACGGACGGGCATCGCTAAATCGATCGATTTTATGCTGATCAAGAATATATATTTATATATATTTATACATAAAATTAAAAAAATGACCGTGTAAAAAAAATGTATATATATATATATATATATATATATATATATATATATATATATATATATATATATATATATATATACTTGATCAGCATAAAATCGATCGATTTAGCGATGCCCGTCCGTTTGTCCGTCTGTGGAAATCACTCTAGCTTCTAGGGTTTTCATAGTCTTCCGCATTTTTAATTAAAATTTCGAGTAAAGAAAGAGAATTGTTTTGTAATTTTTATACCCTCCACCGAAATATACATTTTAGACGCCACAATATATATATATATATATATATATATATATATATATATATATATATATATATATATATATATATATATATATATATATATATATATATATATATATATATATATATATATATTTATTTATATATATATATATATATATATATATATATATATAAATATATATATATATATATGTATATATATATATATATATTATTTATATATATATATATATATAAATATATATATATATATATATATATGTATATATATATATATATATATTCTTGATATTGATGATATCTCAATGCCAAATGTGTTCCACTTAGTACTTTTCGTAAAATTATAGTATATATTTACCAATATTAAATTTAGTACCATTTAGTACTTTTCGCACAAATTTAGTATTTTTCGAATACAAAATATAGTACCCATTTCCGAAACCACCTCTATATGTCTAGGCTACACATTAACAGTAACTTTAATAACAAATTTCAGACTTTAAGCACTGTTCTGTTCACTCAATGCCATATTGTGCCAAATATAGTACTATTTAGTACTTTTCGTGGACTTTTGGTCACATTTCCAAAACCACCTATTTATCAAAAACCTGCCACCAACAGGGATTCCATTATGAAATTTTAAAATTCCAGCTTCATCCGTTCACCCTAAACCAAATCGTTCCAAATGTAGTACCATTTAGTACAGTTCGCACACTCAGTACACATTTCCAAAACCAACTTCATGTATAAAAACTAACTTTTCAACATTGATTCTCGTACCGAATTTCAAGTTTAAAGCTCTATCCGTTCACATAATACAAAATGGTACCATTTTATTACTTTTGGCAACCTTAAAATTCGAAATACATCTATCCTGCACTCCATCCGTGACTCTCATTCCGTGTGTCCAATACAAAGTATTCGATTTTTTAATTCTTTTCTTATTCGTTTAGTACGAAATGGAATCCAAAAAATAAAATCAAAAATTACTTAAACTTTTTCATATGCTAATGACCTCTAGTCCAAAATTCAACGCAAAAATCCCTCCCACACAGTAATATAATATATATATACACAAACTAAATGTCTTTTAGTTGTCATGCCAATAAATTTACAGGTAAATGCGTGCTAAAATATTTCTCTGCTTATTTCGTCTTCATGTTTGCACCCAAAAAAAAACTACACACACACCTTGTTGGGATGTTCATAAAAAATGACCAAAACGCTTGCGATGACCTTCACATTGTTTACTTTTTTTTTTCAAGTTATTTTCAAATTTTCGAAAATTTGTTGTTCACAAGTCAACATACACACATACAATACGTATATGTACACAAAAACACGCAATAACACCTTTTTATGTGTACCAAAAAAGAAAAATTAGTCCACCCACAACTACAATAGGTCGTCTTAATGGGTTAAAAATGTCCCACCTTTGTCAATTTAAAATTAAATATTCTTTCACGTTGCTGTGAATGGATGACATTTGGCAATGATTTCGACGATGGCAAAAATCTCAAAATAATATATAAATGAGGGGGGGATTATGCTTGCCATTTTATTTCATTTTAGAATTTATAGCCAACATTTCGCTGTATTTTCTTTCAGCATTTTATTTTCAATTTTTGTTAATTTATAATTAGCTTTTCATAAAAAAAAAATATTTTTGTATTTTTTTCGTTTTAAAACAACAACTATTTGCTTTGCTGTTTTGGGGGGAATGGGTAGGTGGTAGAGGCATTGAAAATTGATTTCATTGTTTATTTTGGTTTAGATCACAAGACATAAACAAAAAATTAAATTTTTTGAAAATTTTCCTTTTAATTTGCCAAATTTTTCACAAAATCAAATGTTTATGAGGCAAAGTGTATGAGTGTTTGTGAACTTGTGTTTGTTTGTTTAGGTAGTATTAAAGAAATGAGTCATCCCAGGTGATTAAACATAAATAGTTGGTATGTAGCGTATATACATATATGTGTCGCAGAAAAAATAATAAACAGACAGTTTGTCTGTGGGTGTTTTCGTTTATTTTTATATATTGTTTTATATTTTTGGAGAGATATTATATAGAGATATTATAAAGAGCCATCTGTTTACTCTTTGTGTCCAAATTTCCAACTTTTTGTTATAGTCGCCATATAACCCGATATTTTGTATTTAAATTATTTCGTCATATCTGCGTTCCAATTTTTGTTGAAATTTTGGTATTTGGAGTTTTTAATGGGCACCACTATAAAGTTACGAAAAGTCCTTAAATGGTACTAAACTTCTGAAATGGTACCATTTGGCATTTTGTTAACGGATAAGGCTAAAAACTTACAATTTAGAATATAAGTTTGATGTATGGAAGTGGTTTTGGAAATCTGTACTAAGTAAGCCAACTGTACTAAATTGTACTAAATTTGGAGCAGTTTGGTCTAGGGTGAACGGATGGAGATGGAATTTTAAATTTTTTTATTAGAGTGTCTGTTGGTGCTAAGTTTGTGATAAAGGGGTGGTTTTGGAAATTGGTACTACAAGTGCACAAAAAGTACTAGACAGTACTATACTTGGTACAATTTGGTATTGAATGAAGATAAAGGGCTTGAAATCTGAAATTTGGTACATATTTTTGTATTAGAGTCGCTGTTCATGAGTAGCCTGGATATATGAAGGTGGTTACGTAAATGTGTATTATAATTGTACGAAAAGTCCTAAATTGTACTATATATAGGGTGTATGGGGTGAAGATAATTTGCTTGAAATGTGAAAAAAAATTTTGAAAATTTTCCTTTTCATTTGCCAAACTTTTCACAAAATCCAATTTGGTATTCATCTGTACATATGGATATGTTACGAAAATGTGTACGAAAAGTACTGAATGGCACTTGTCCGAAAAGTACTAAATGGTACTAAATTGGTTATTGGGTGAAGGGATAGAAATATAATCCTAAATTTGATATTTAGATAAGTGTACAATAGTTGTTCGAAAAGGGATATTGGGGTATTGGTTGAGGGGCTCAAATTTGAAATTTGAGGGGCTCAAATTTGATATGGAGGTGGTTTCGGCAATGTGTACTATAATTGTGCGAAAGTACTAGGTGGTACAAAATTGGTTGGTATTGGTTGGAGGGA